CCACTTTGGCAGATATTTTTTTAATCCTCATTCAAATGGCTGCTACAATAAAACAGTTGCCAATAAGTGACTCTACAGAACGTAAAGGTTTCCAAAGACAATGTATTCAAATATATAACAAATGATGGATACAATTTGATGTTAAATTTTATTTACTTTGTTATTTTTTGCACCCAAAGTATCGTAGCAATGGGATGGTTCCTGTAGTTTTTCATTCAGTGATTGATATGTACAGCATTAGAAGTATGGAAAAATTTAGGAGGTGGAGATAGAAGTGCACAAGTCCTAATCACACAAATAAAAAATTATGATTCTTTCACTTTCCCTTATCATTATCCATATGTAGAGGAATCAGAATGTCCAAAAACATGGTGGATTTCTTGCAAACAACAACATCATCATTTACAATGTCTTGCATTGTATACTTTAGCAATTGTTCCTCATAGTGCAAACTGTGAACATTTATTTTCTGTATTAAGTTGGTTCCTCAAAAACGTAGAAATAGGTATATACAATGAAAATTTTTTTTATTTTTTCAATGTATATAAATACATATAATATTTCTAATAATTAATTCTTTATAGACTTGATGTTGAAAAGGTTTCTAATATGGCTAAATTACATTCTTTTTACACCATGAATGCAAACAGTGAATTAAATTACATTACTCAAGAAATGTCAGAGGAACAATTGATTAATGCTTTACATGATTATGAGGATGGATTATTTTCTGGAGAGGAAATTTTTGATTTTGAAGATAGTGATGATGACAACAATAGTGATGATGGTGATGATGATATGCAAGATAATAATGTCAGATTTTAATGAACCTTATGAAAGAGAAAATTTTAATAGACCATTAGAAGATGGTGATCCTGATTATAATATAGATGATATATTATAAGAGATTCAGGAATTTAAAATTTTTTTATTTTGCCAAATTTACAAATAAAATAAAATTATATGGAATTATAGTAGCCAATATTATTTATGGGATTATGGCAGCCAAAATTATTTATGGTGCCAAAATTATTTATGGTGCCAAAATTATTTACAGTGTCAAAATTATTTACAGTGCCAAAATTATTTATGGTGCCAAAACTATTTACAGTGCCAAAATTATTTATGGTAGCCAAAATTATTTACGGAATTTAATTATGGCAACTTTTATTTTATTTTTATCCAGCATGATGGACATTTGTATGTTACACGATCACCAATATACATTTCAATTGAAGATTTTAAAGTACTATTACCCCATTTGGAAGGTGAATGGA